CTACCACATACAGTTCATATCACATTTAATGAAACAGAACAATGTACCTATGTATAGCATGTCATATAAATAATCATGGGGCTCGGCCCTGACCACACCTCGCTGCATAATGATGTAAAATTTAGAAAAGATAGAATATATGCCATGCTTAATTATAACACCCAACATCTCCACTCTTTTCTGCTAGTTTCATACTGATTTGCTGTCATAGTAACCAGTTTCATGTAAAAATTAGCTTTCATTTCATGGAAGGAGCTTTTCATTTCAGCATGTGCTAATATTTACTGTAACACATCAGACATGGTGTGAAACACTGTGTGAAAGTCCAATGTTTACAAAACACTTTCTACTGACTGCCTCCACACACCAGCAATTCCTCAGAGTACACTTTGAAATCCGTATTTTTTTTTTTATGGAATCATTTTTGCTTCCTTCCTTTCAGTCAATGTGTATTAAACTACTATATCACAATATAGGACAAATGAGCTCCATCAGTTCAACATGTGCTTTTGAATTAGTTCCTTACCTTTCACCACTCTCAACAGTCATGAATGTGCTGTAAACTTGACATTTTGTCGTTGTATCACATCTTCCTCTAATCCTCCTCTGAATTGGCTGCAGAAACTCAGTTGAAGATCATTTTGTGAGAAGCTTAGGAAAAATGACTTGAGAAAAATGCTCCAGTGACCTCTGCATGAGTTGAATGTAACCTGCAAGTGCTGGATCCTCAAAGGAAACAATATTAATTTGTATTTGTTGGCTGTTTCTCTGAGCAACTTAACCACAAAAATTACTTGAACACACTCTGTAATATGTATTTCTCTATAGAGTTTATTGAATTTCAATATCGCAATAAAATACATGGCTCGATCTGAAGAGATTATCTGAAAAATCAGTCTGTAACAAGTGGCTTTTTACCCTATACTCTCAAGAACCCCCACAGGATTCAACTGAGGGAGACTGCACAGCATCTTCTCTGAATCCACAAAACACAAATCACCCCTGGTTGGTCAAACTCACATGTGACCTCCAGAAACTTACTGAAGGTGCAGAGGTAGGCCAATGTTCCACAAGACCTGATTAGACCTTTCCCAAGAGGCGTTAGAGTAATCCCTCTGTAATTGCAGCACAATAGGGGGGATCCAAGTCCTTTGGTTGCATACTCATGTGGTTTTCTAAAACTAGAAAATGTTTCAGTTGTAAACTTTTGCCCATTTTTCTGGATCAAGTTCTGAGTACTTTACTTTCTGGGTTCTGAAGCTTTGAAAACTTACAGATTAAACCAAGGGATTCTATTCACATATGTATTGATCAAACACATATGACATTCTATTTTCCACCTACTTTGACAACAGCAGGGCTTTTAAACAGATACATTTTGTGGCTTTCTCATAAATCTCTGCTAAAGTATTGATCTTAATTTTCCTTTGCAGATCAATGTTTTTATGACTATGCTGCATTTCCACCTTAAATAATTGCTTTTCTTCTTTCCAAACATTTTTTTCTTAAAACCTGTCAAAGTTGTCATAAATCTGACCTTGAATTCTGTTTCAGCTCTCTGACTCCCAACCTTGACATTCCACAGTGCAGCTGAGACTCAAAAATGTATTCAGCTTATCAGTTATTTCTGCCACCCAGCAGCTCCCTCTCAATAAATATGGGGTTGACTAAGTTGATATGCCTTGGAGGCGTTTTAAATATTCTCCCCCAAAATATCTATTCATAAAGTGTGGGGGTTGGGGGCAGAATAACGTAATTGGGTGATTTATGACCTTTTCACACCACTGAAGCGATTAACTGAAGACATCATTCGGAGCTGTCAGTCAAACTTATTGTTCACATGGAAACGAAATACCGTGCAATGGAGAAGTGAGCCAGCTGACTTAAATGATGCTTCCTTCTGAGTCTTTTGACTAAAGTGGCCTCTTCAAAACTGTTAGATGAGCTCTTGTGTTAAGAAAGAAACTTCTATCTTCCAACTACACAAGAAAAAAAAAATAGTCAAAGGTTCAGGTAAATCTGTGCTTATTTTTGAATTCATATATCTATCTTGAGGGTGACATGCTTTGAGCTGAATACCATCTCATCCCAGTGCTCATTGCTCGCTTGCTGCTGATCACAGACCTTGACTATGTTCAGAGCTTAATAGTACATCTGGGATACATCTTCACATAAAGCTATCATTATACCAGATTTAATGATCAGGCACAGTGATTTGTCTTTATAGGTCTTCTTAAGCATGCACACACCTGCATCTCTGGAGCCTTCTTTGCTAATAACACCAGGAAGAACAACTTGACGATAATTGGCTCATCATTTCAAGTGTGTTCAGGCATAGAGCCCCCCACTCCTTCTTCCCTCCTCCTCACTGATGCTCAAAAAAGTCTCAGCTTTGGAAAAGGATGAAATTGGATAGAATTGCCTCCTGGATGGGATTTCATGTCTTTGGCATCAACACGTTTTTTTTTCCCCAGCCTATGGAGCGCTGAGCACTTAATCTTCACTATAACCCAGAGTGTTGCTGAAGAAGCCTTTAGTACTGATGACAAACTGGCAACATAGCCTCATCTTAATAATCCCACAATTTTCTGAACAATCCATAAAATCATAATTTTGTATTTTATTTTTGGTATAGAAGATTTCTGATGCGGATGCTTTGGTGATTAAATGGCTGTTATCGCCTCATAAAGTGCAACTTAAAAACCTGCTAAAACCCTGTTTTGCTTTCTAAAGCAATACAAATTAAGACATCATTGTGTTGGAAAGAATTAAGCAGAGAAACTACAAGATTTGTGAGAACTTTTGTAGGTTTTACAAAAGAAGCAATTGTAAAGCTAAACTAATGTCTGTGTGGACTGCAAAATCTGGTTAAGCATCCATTAATCCAAACCTTAATTAATGATTTTAACTATTTTTGCTGCTTTTGTAGATGCATAATCCCTTCCAGGAAATGTAAAAAAGAAGGATGATATTGTGATTGGACACAATTCATGTCTTTAAATCAAGCAAGTCTGTATCTAAAGCAGGTGTAGCTATTAAAATCCCACATCTAATAAAACACCATTGCCATGCATTCACGGTTTTTTACTTTTCCATATCCACAAAAGCAAAATAAATAAATAAATGTTTGTTTTATTTCACCATTTCCCTTTTAATGCTGGTTAATTATACCAATGTCTCAGACAATATGAACTGCTATTTTATCAAAAGACAAATTTAAATGAGCGTTGTAACATTTGTGGATCGTGGTTGTCTTTCTTCCCCTTTTGTCCTTTGGGCTTGCTGACTCTCAAGCTTAATTACCAGAGGTAATGGAAGATGAAGCTAAATGGCACTGATGGGGTCCAACAGAAGGTCATTAGGTGTCCTCATTAGCGTCCAACTGATGTGAAAAAAGTTTAAGTTGTTACTCCAATCCCGATGGATAATGTTAATTTCAGTTTGTCTTTGCAGGGAAAGATTTTACAGTGCAGACGGCTTGTAGAGGGACAAGTAGGGAGAAACCTAAGCTAAAAACCACATGTGCATGTATGATGGTGGCTTACAATTTTACACATCATGTTAATTATGTTGCATGAGTAAGCTACATTAACATTAGTACACCATTTAATGTTAACATCAAAACTTAATCTCCTGAAAGATTGAAATTTTGACATTTATAGAGTTATTTATCTCTCACGAATCAAAAGAAAGGAGTTTTATGGACTGCCTCTGTGCTTGGATTTCTAACACCTGTCTGAGTGAATTACACAAAGGTTTGGAAACACTTTTGATTCAGCAACTCACAGCCCCAGAGTGATAAAAACAGAGGAAAACTGCAAGTTCTACTTTTATAGAACTACCTTTAAACAGGCAGGGTATCCTGTTCTCTTTTAACATTGGCTTTTGGAGGACTGAAGCTTACTGATTCCAGATAAGATCCTCAAATAAAATTACTAAGTGACATGAGTTTCAGGGTGTTCTAAAAAAAGAAAAGAAAATCTAAGTCTTGCACAAAATTTGACAAATGTCACAAAACATACCAAAAATCCAAATAGAAAATTAGTTCTGTCTGACTCATGCATGCACAGGAGGAACATGCCAACTCCATGCAGAAAGAGCTCAGGTTAGGTCTAGAACCCATAGGCTGTTTTGCTGGAAGGCAACAGTTTTACTAACTGTGTTACTGTGCAGTCCAAAGTGCATTTAATACCACAAAGATTAATTTGTCACCTTCGCTTTATGAAACCTTTTGTTCAATACATTCCTTTGATAATTGGGAAGCGCTATGAAAATTAGTTTTTCAAATGTGACTGAGAAAATGTTAACAAAATCCAGTGTCATAGTCAAGACCACCTAACCTGAGACTGAGACAAAACCAAGTGACTCTTTTTTTCATTGCAAATGCTTACCTTTCTTTGAGCTTCTTTTCTAAGTAACGAAAAAAGTTATAGTCCCCACCGTTTGTGAAAGCAAAGCGCTGATGAAGTGGCTGTCGCCATTGGATTTCTTGTGACTTATGCAGCGCAATTCTATTACTGACAATTAGACAGACATCTTCTGCCACTCAAAGAAAACCACTGCGCATGTCTTGGAGTGGGAGTGAAAGGTGGGGGGAGGGTGGAGAGAGTAACAGAGACACGTAATTGTCAAGTCACCTTATTGCTTGAATTTTAATCTGTGGGTTTTGCATCCATTGAAAACAAACATATTAACAATAAACTGGACAGTAACATAATTTCTGCTTTATTGTACAACTTATGTGCAACCTTAAAGGTGGAAAAATTTCTGAAATTATTTACCTTGGCCTTATTTTCATATCACAAAGTCTGCTATTGTAACTGTGTTTTGTGTGTATAATTTTGTATTCACTGTAAACTGGCTGTAGATTAATTGCAGTCAAACCCTAACCCTAAAAAAATCTTAATCATGTTGTTTATGCTTTTGATTAAAAAAAAAAAAAAACAACTAAAAAATATAACACCCTAAATTTTGCACAGAAAATAAAACTTGGGACAGTGTTACAATCATCAAAGCAATGTTTTATTGTAGTATTCATAGTTGCTCAGACACGTGTATATACAAATACAGATCATTTTCCTGTCAAATTTTCTTTCATTTTATATACTGTAAAAGAGCAGTTTGGAAACAGTCCCCACTTATGGAAAAGCCAGAGTGGGGTTGAAAGGTGAGGGAGAAAGGACAGCAGGTGGAAGTTATACAAGCACAAGAAGAACGGAGGCAGGACATAAAACGAACAAGTGTTTTCATCAGCAAGAGGAGAGCTGAGAAGCTTTACCCTGCGCACAGAGCATAAATCGATGATAGGGTTCACCCTCTAACAATCTAGTTCAGGATTTGTTAGGTGGGGTGCTCTAATCCTTGAACTGTTCCTAAGACCACCATCTACAGTAAGAAAAAGTGATTTAGAGATTGTTAAAAAGACAGAGACAATTGAAGGGCCCCATTGTACTCTCTTCGAAGCCAGCAGCTGCTCTGTGTACAAGCACAATGGCAAAAAGTGTCTTGAACACAGATGGGTTAGAGGCTGAGGGGCTAAGGCATGGGAAACGCTCTTCATTGCCAAACAAAGTTGCTGCTTCGCTTTAACTGTGGCGACAAAAAGAGACACAAAAAACTCAAAAGTGTCACACTGGAAAATGTCTACACAGACGTATCCACTCATAAACCCTCCAACTGGGAGTGAAGGGAAAAAAGGGAACGAGTCGAGGATGAACACCATGGATGCTTACAGAATTAAGTTTAGAAAAATAAAAGTAAGAATTGCTTTTGATCTACAAAATGAAGCACCTCACAAAACCCAATTTTAAATCTCCCAACAATGGCTTGTGGTATGTACATTTGTCACGTGTGAGTACACAATCTGACATCACTCGAATGGGGGATGCAAAAACACAGAACATGGAAATGACCAATTAAATCTAAAACATCAGCATGAAAAAGAAAACAGCAAAAAAACATAGTCTTGAAAACTTCAGATTTTTTTTTTTTTATACATGTTATCAAGTTCATGCGCATGCCACATAATGAAACTGGTGAGATCCTTCCATTAAAAAGCCAACTTTCCACTCAAAAAATGCTTCCAAATCCTGAAGGCAAGAAAAAGTACAAATAGCCATCGATCAAGTCCCAAATGCTTCTTTTCGTAGTAAGGATCTTTCCATGAAGAGATGGTGACTGGTTTAAAACATGTAAGAGGTAAGCCTCTAGTTGGCTAATGTTCCAGCCAACTGCACAGTGTGTGCAGCTCCCACAGGTTTCCCCTTTTTGTTTGAACTCAAGAGTCTCTTTAGGCATTGAGGAATAAAGCACACACAATGCATTGTTTGAGAACAGTACACACTCCGCAAAACCCAGAGATAATACGGTATCTGATTGTTTTTTAGAAAAGACATAAGAACCAAATTAATACTTTAATATCAAACACTATATACATCGAGAAGTTTTCCTAATAATAATAATGATAATAGTCATAATCATTATCATCATAACAATAATAATAATTATACAGTTTTAACAATGGTTTATCTCATTTTGTTTATTTGTCCTCCAGAAAGGTACAAAACAGATACTAACCTAACACTACTATGTTGTATGGTTGTCTACCTCAGGATACACAGTATCCAATATATAAGTTGATTCTCATTTCCCAGGTTTGGGTTATGTGCAGAACAAAAAATCATGGTATTGATAGCAAAAGAAAAAAAAGACAATTAGTGTTGATAATCATAAAACTGAAGCTGGTTTCTGATTATAGCCTGCAGACAAGCGTCCATGTTGAATCTTCTGCAGTGCTCATATCCCCGTGGTGATACTCTGAAAATTAGTACCTCATTAAATGGCCTCGTCTCATATTACCTCTTGTAGCTGAGCTGCTATTCTGCTATAATAGCATTGTTACTGCAGTATATAAAAGGAACAAATGGCTGAAGGCAAACGTTGTTTATCAGAAATGAAATGAAAAATAGATATATGTATATATTATATAAAAAAACGCAGAAAAAAAAAACAGTCACAAAATAAAAACAAAGCAAACCCAAAACAGTGCATGCCTCTGAGGCTGAATGGTGCTAGACAGCATGTTTGTCATTGAATTGAATAGGTTTTTTGGCCTGTAGTGTTGAATGAGTTTTTAGGTTCTTTTGTCTAAGTGTTTTGTTAGGCACTAATCACATTTTTATCGACTATCTTTTCAAACCTGCATGTATTTGAATGTGTAAGCCTCTCCTCATATAATTCTTCTCTGTCTCCTTCACTTGCCAGCTCTCTTGAACTGCAAGGTCATTGGTGCTTTAAAACCCCCCACAGTAAAAATCTACACTTCCGAGACTCCCCCACTAAGCCTTCCATCATCTATTTTTAATACCAGAAAAACTTCCCCCGCGACAACATGGGGTCTGCGTGCCTGTCATTTTGAACCTCATTAAGGGGTCGCTTTAAACAAGTAACAGTAGGAGCAGAAGGTGGGTGCGCAATTGCTCCTGTGTTCCTTTTTTTGCTGTATTTCTCTTATTCTGTCCATCTTTCCAAGCCTTTTACTAACTTGCTGCTTTTATATGATGCTAGATTCAGTAGAGTTAAAGACATAGCTAAAGATTTTTGAAGTGAGGTTCTATTAAAAGGTCATAAGTACTCATAATGTCTTAATTTAGCATAAATACATATAAACTCATTCCAGAGACTAATGGTTTGTCAAAGAAGGGCCAAGATCTTTAAGCCACTGTAACTTTTGCATCTGGCAGTTTTCCACACAGACGACAACAATTATTTACAACTAAAAATGGAGGAGCATTGCAACTGATCATCTTGTGTGAAAAGTATTTCTGGTCAGAGTAACTGATATAAAAACGCATCAGTGGAAAAACATCCAAATTATTATAGCATTAATTCACACTATTTTTATAGATTTTTAACAATGTATTACTACTCTATAAGGTACTTGCTCTGACTGTAAATGGTTGGCAAGTTCCATGTTGTTTCACAAAGAAAGGGGATTGTCTATTATGTCAATTTCGTTTATCATTAGCTGCTATTGTCCAATGCAAAAATAAAGACAATTTAGGCATTCATGAAACACTATACAGATAAACTGCCAAGGACTTGATGTCACTTTAAGAAATTTTATTTAAGTTTAAGGGGTTTTACCCTAAATAGGCTTCAAGGTTACACTAACACTAGTGTGTCTTCCTCAGAGTTTGTCACTGTCTCCTTTGCTGCACGTTCTGGGCCTGGCACAGATAAAATTGTTATTAAACTTTGAACTGAACCACAGGAAAGATCTGCTTTCACCTAGAGCTCTGGCCGTGCCACTAAAAGCTTGTGACCAATAAAAACTTAAAAATAATTTCAAACTGCACAGTTAGTTTCATGTCCAATCTGTTTAATTCAAAACACAGAGCCTCAAAATTACCAAAAAGTTGGAATAGCAGTAGAAAGACGGATGCACTCTACTTTTTAAAACAGCATCAATAAATTAAGATGGTGATATTAGGTAATCTATTTGCAGAAAAATGTAGATGAATAATATTTGTGTAGTTAAATTGTTTCTGTTAACATGGCAGAACCAGACATTCACAGTGTTGCAATGATGTAGCTCTGAGTTGACTCACTGCTTGTGAAAAAAAAAAAAAACAGAACTGGTTGTTATATCAGCTGCTTTTGAGCTACAAAAATCATTTGTGACGAGCCAGATTCTGAAGGCATCTCTTCAGATTCTGGGTTTGATTGATGGGGATTTTTAATCAAATGAAGACACCAAAGAGTTCTCTACTGTGGGAAAAATATTAACCACTTATGATCTTTTAACAGAAAAGTCCTGAGCTATCCCTTTGGGTAAAAGGTTACTTCTTTCAAGGAAGCAAAAACCTTTCTTTAAATCAAACACTGCCAATAAGCAAACTGCCCTTGTGTTTCTGTGGAAGTAAATTACTTTGAATCGAAGTGGTAACATAAACAAACTGAACAGAGCTACCTTACTTTTAATGGATATATATATTTTTCTCTTTACATTCCTCTAATTGGAGCTATGCATTTGTCTTTATAATGCTTCACCAGCTGCATTTAATAAGTATTTAACTGATCTATGATCATGTTGAAGAATAAAAAAAGCGTGGTACTGTAAGGTGTAGAGTATTAAGCATTTTTTATTGTTTTAACAGGATCTAAAAAAAGTTTAAACTATCTGTATAGTTTAAAAGAATGTTTGATGAGTCAAATAACTTGATAGTTTAGCAAAATAAAAAAGAAAAAGAAAACACCACCCAGTTTAAACTGTGAACCTTTTTGAACAATCAATAGCGAGGGAATAAATAGCTTTGGATGCAAATGTTTATGGGAGTGTTAATATTGACTAATGCTCAACTGGAACAGAGAAAACAATTGCGGCCCAGCTCAGTAAACATTGCACAAATGGCTGTGACTGCTGCCGTGAAATTGTGTTATCAAGTTTCAAAAGGTATTGATTCTCGATTTTAACAACGGTTAACGAAGTGTCTGGAGAGAAAGTTTCAATTTAGTTTTGGCTTTGTGAACAGAATGCTTTTTTTAGAAATGTTTTATTGGCCATTTTTATTAGGTTTGTCAGAAAGAAAGAGTTTCTTGGTGATTTGAAAAGGATTTGCTCATCCAGAACATTCAACAACTCATCAGAGTATGGAGAAAGAGGATACCGTGTTTAAAAAACGAGCGATTGTAAGTCACTTTGCTCCATGTCAGATATTTTACATATTTCTAAATTCTGTCTTAGTTAAAAACTGAACTACATCTATCTCTGGTTTAAGCTAAGCTTTAGAAGGCTTCTTGAGAGGTCTCAGGGAAACTATTCATTTCTGTCTGTTGTATATACAATAATTTCTAACACTTAGAATCTACAATGCTCCACTGTGTATACGCCGACTCTCTAAAACTGTAAAACTCTACTGCTGCAATTGGCTTCTGTTTTTGAATGTGCTTTTGCATTGTTGCAATGGTGTGCCGCCTGTGTGTATGCACAATAAACTGCATGAACTTAGTTTTCATAGGTAAACATCAGTGCTGCAATGACATAAATACAATGTTGCGTGATGGTAAATGTCACGGGAAAATAAGAATCACTAAGTGTCAAAAAAATGGGATTTGGCATCTTAGTTGAAGGTATAAGAGGGGGCACTTTCTCTCCCACTTTTAACATCAACTTTTTTAACTCACAGAAGGAGAAAGACCACTTAATTTTTCTTCTGAAAAAAATAGAGTTTTTTCTTTGTTTTGTTTTTTCTTGAGAAGCCTGCTTTTTATGCCCAATCAAGCAAATGCAATCCACCCAAATCCCACCCACTACCCTGCAGCCTAGGGTAGATTCAGGCCACGCTAGGTGTAAATGACCTCCGGCACAGAGGGAGGCGCTATAAAGTAAAGAGTCCCACGAGGGAGACCAGCAGCAAAGCAAGTAGAGAACTTGTCTTCTGCAGACGTTGCGCAGCGTTCGTTTCACTCCGCGAAGGGGCAGCCGTTTCATGGCTGGTTTCATCTAAAGGATAGAGAAAAAAAAAAAATACAGCATGAATTATTAGGGGTCTCTGTTATAATGATGAAACATATATAAAATATGAAATAGTATAACATTAAGCCTTTATTTACATACAGGCACGTCTCAGTAATTCAATATTAATATATTTTACTGATTCAATAAAAAAAAACATAAATAAATAACATAAACACAACATAACATAAATGATATATTTCAAGCATTCATTCATATCGGTTGTGCTGATTATGACTTACAATAAATTAAATCAGTTTTAAGTAAAATTAGTGTAAAAACAGAAAAAACAAAATGGTACATTTTTGTGTACCTTTTTGTAGATAGGCCTCCTCTACTCAAGAGTATTCCCATGTACTGTACACTATTATGAACAGAATAGTATCTGCAGCAAAGTGGTGCTGCAAGGAGGGGATGAGGCTATGGCAATGAGGTCAATAGGTTTCCCGTCAAAATCCTCCCAAGTTATTACTTTTGCTTGGGCAGATTTTACTATCCCACTTTTATGTGCTTCAATAGGTGGAAGCCCGAGTGGCTTTGGTTTGCGAGCAAAGCCAGGTTTGGACATTAGCTTTTCTGCATTGCCGTCCCTGTAATTTATGATGTTTCTCCTGACAATACCCTGCTGACTATCTGAAGGGTTTAAGTCAGGTGAGTTTCTTGGCTTATCAAGAACAACAATATTGTAGCAATTAAACTGGGTAGCGTGGGTGAATACTGTTAAAATTATAATCAGCACATTTTTAAAGTATGTCAAGACAGTGCTTCAAAATTGTTGTGTTTATGTTGTTTTGTGCACGACATTTTTACCACATTTTTTTCCATCCACACAACTTTCCATTAATATAGTCTATAATTAAGATAGTCTTTTTAGTAAAGACCTTTTTGTGGCTTGTGGAGTGTACAACAGCACAATACTCTACAATCATGTAGGTTAATAACATAACTGAATTTTAGATGGTCCTTGTGTATAAGCCATAATCCTCAAAATCAACATAAATAAATAACTTTAAATAACTTTTTGTATAATCTATATAATGTGTGATATATAAATATATATGTTTTGTAATTATGCAATTACAAAACACAATTATTTTATGAGATTCTAATATGCAATGAACATTTACTCAAAAAGCATTTGTTTGTTTCACTAACAATAGTATTTGCAACAATTTTCAGATTCATGTAATGAAGTCTGAGTTGCCATTTGAACTTCAGTTGCTGTATAATGTTTCATCTCCTAGGTGAGCGGCCGCCTGTGTCTGTCTGGCAGTACCATCAGTATCTGTGCGCAGCCATGTGCCCGCTTCACCGTGGGAAAGTAGCTGAACCATGCACAGCACAAGAACAGATCGACAGACCAGACGATCAGACGTTTACAACAACAACGTAACAACAACCGAGGGGTTGAATGTTTAAGTTCAATGGCTTTGGAAATGATGAAAGAGAATTCAGCCAAACGTAAGCTAGATTCTGTTGATTAGCGACAGCCTTTAAAGGATGCAAACAGCCTTTAAAGGATGCAAACAGCACAGCAAAATTAACAAGCAAGCACAAATCAAAGAGGCAAGCATCAGACCTGCATAAGCATTTAGAACTTGTAACATCCTGTATTCAAATATGTATTTTGCTAGCTGCAATTATTTCACACTGTAAAAAGTTTGACTTTAAGCATTTGAAAATTCAATCTGTCACACACTACATCACATCAAATTCCATAAGAGATCACAAATTAGGCATCTTTTAGACCTTTTAATATTACCTAAAAGTTTACATGGGTGGTAATGCCCTATGTAAACACCATGTAAAACTATTGGAAAAAAAAGTTTTTAAAAAGCTACAATACCTTAAGTTAAGTTAGTGGAAATGTTGCCAAGTTTTTTTATATTGAGTTTAGACTTTCCTCTACTTTTCTTCTAAGCCTATTCTTTGTATCATACTTTTATAGTGAGCTCTCTTTATGTTGGCACAGGCCTTAGAGTAAACTTGCGCTGGGAACGAAACAGCAGCATGTGGCTGATGGGGTGTGTTCCTCCCTGGTGACTGACTTGGTCTCATGTAAAACACATAAAATGTTGTGCATTCAGAGCACAACAAATAATCAATGCTGAGCTGCAGAGCCAAACAGTAAGTCAATGAAGACTTAAGCAGACTGTTAGAATGTATACCTATACTCTGCACATAGAGATAAGATAATGATTTTTTTTCTTGTGGTTTTTACAGCTGACATATTAATTACAATGCCGAATTGATATTTCATCAAACATCAGCAGTTTTATGTTCACAAGAAGAAAATATTTTTCATTTACAAATGCATCTAAAAATATTGATAATCAACAACTTCAACAGTTCTTTGTTACTCATTTCAGAAAATAAAACTATACAGATTAGAGCCTTACTTTCTTGCAATTTTGATGATTATGGCTTATTGGTGATGAAAACCCCAAATTCAGTGTTTCAGATGACTATGATCATACTTGTGTAAATTTAATACAAAAAGTGTGCAAACAGCTTATTTGACTACAACCTTTTATGATTTAATCATCTTTTGGACGGTGTCAGTATTGATGTTTCACACATATTTTAGGGCCAGACTCTTCCTGTGATTGTGTAACCTACTGAAGCAGACTGGTCAACCACTTACAACCTTAGGAAACTTTTTCAGGTGTTTTGAGTTAATTCACTGATTAGGTTGTGAAACAGTGAATTTCCAGTAATTGCCTTTTTTATGATATTTATGTTTTTGGAGACTCTGAATTTTGGGTTTCCATTATCTGTAAACAATAATCATAAACATTTCAAGAAATTATAGTTTTCAATTGTGTATGATTTTAGCATATATGATCTCAAATCCATAATCATTTCTTTTTTCAAATAAATCGCAAAGAAATGAAATAATTTGGAATATTTCTAAGTATGATTTAATTGTGGTCTATGTAAAAAAAAAAGATAAGTCTTTAGAAACTTGTGGCATAGAAACTTGTCTAGTCAAAAAGTAATTCTAAATTGGAATCTTGGAAAAACATTTAAATTAAATGAAACAAGCTTGATAAACATGCACTGTAGAGCAACAAAAAAGGATAACATACAAGAGACACATGCAAAAGGTCACAGTGAATAAGACCAAAAGCCATACTAACCTCTTGGTAACGTACTTTCTACTCTGTCATCTATATCAAAAACACGATCTGTTTTCAGACAGCTGTCTACAACAGAAAATAGGGAGAATGGAAAATCATTACAAGTATGCAACAAATATGTTAGTGACATTTGTACCCCCACCTCCACTTTAGCCCAAACACTCAGAGCAACAAAGCTAATGGCAACATTCAGAGGATTTCAGTTGATTTGATAATCTAGCATCTTTTTTCAGGTTTCAAAAAGAATACAATTATTTTCTCAGAAGGCAGGTCTGAGACTAAACAGTAAAACAGGGAAGTGAGGAAACCATACATCCCTAATTTGTTTTGATCTTCAGGCCAAGAGTGTACCTCAGTAAGCTATATTATAAAGCCCTGTGTTGCATGCAAACACGTACTTGATGGTCGGACGAAAACTTTAAGCTTGAGGCATGTTTTCTTCCCATTTGGAGCAACAGTGGAGGCTGAAAGAAATCACAACAGATACAGGTAAACATGGCTGATATTCTTAGTACAACATGCACATTCATCAGCCTGTTACACAGCATTTTTGGACTTGTACTCCACAGTTAAAGATTCCCTGAATAGAAAAGGTCTGGTAAGACATATCAGGTTTAATACAGCAGTTAGCTCTGAAATAATGTAATTCGGGCAACATTAATATTTTAAGATAGTTAATGTGGACTGGTAAAGGAATTAAACAGGGTTAGTCATGGGTTTTTGTGGAAGTGTAGCTTGAAAGTATTTACAGTTTGTCGGAAGACTCCACAGAAAAAAACCATAGAGCTTTTCTTATAGCCGAATTCCCCTAATTTAGATGTAGCAGCAGCTCATCAAGGACCAGGATATTTACATATCAGCATGTACAAAAACAGAAAAAGCTTTGTGCAATTTATAGTTAAAACTACACAGCCTAGCAAAAACATTCAAACCCCTCAACAGTGAAACATTTTGTTATGATACAACTAATTCATTGTGTTTTACTGCAATTTTACATGACAGTCCATAACAAAGTAGCACACAATTGTGAACGAGAGAGGATCTTAAAAGTGTGAAAGTGTATTCTGCACTCCTGCAGAATATATTTTGTAGAACCACCTTTCAAAGCAATTACAGTTTTGTGTCTCTTTCTGTTCAACTCTGATTTAAACTTCTCCACAGCTTTCTCCATGTTGTGTTCTTTTGTCTTCATGAAATTGTTTTCTAACAAATCTCTGAGGCTGTCATATAACTAAGATGGACTCAGTATAAAAAGGGGACTTCAGAAGATATTAGTTTAAACTAAATATGGTTTAGAGGTAGAAACCCGAAAGAGGTTGAACACAGATACATGTGACAGATTTTATGAATCTGTAAATGTAACATTTTCTTTAAACTTGAAAATTTTGTACCATTTTATGTTGGTTTAACACATAGAATCCTGCTAATATAAAGGCTTGTGTTTCTATAATAGGAACAAATTTGAAAACTTCTATACTTTTGCAAGGCAATGTACAAAGAAGGTGCAATGTACAACGGTGTATTTCCTTCCATGAGAACCTCTACATGGTTTCACGCTACCCAGAGTGAGGAAGGATAAACTGTGTGTAGTGCATATGTGGATGGTTTGTGGTTGATGTCGGGAAATAGAACCCTTCCTGCCAGGTCCATGGGGTGTGAATCTCCAGAACGTTAGTTACCGTGGGGGCCGTGTCAAATCCACAAAAAAATATCTCAAGTGTTACAGATGTGGGAGTATGAGTGGTTGACCACTAATAGTGTTGTGGTAGAGCAGCAGGTGCTGTCTCCTGCAGACCAGGACAGGGGTCAAACATATGTCAGTGTAGAACATGGGGGATGACTGCAGCAGTGTACACCATCTTGAAATTATAGGCTGCTGCGTTTGGGTTCAGGATTTCATATCAAGCTGAGAAAAGTGTAGACTCTTTCAGCTGTTGTGATGAATTAATTTTATCTGGCAGCTCCAACTTCCACCCTCTGCTGCTCCCCCAGTTTCACCATGGACCTTTTAGCTGCTTTGCTGATTAATACTTTACTTTGGTAGGTTTGGGGTTGTGTCATACTCTTTACAGATAAATTAAACCATTCACATTTTTATTTATGAGTCAATTTGAAAATCTACCTTCAACTTTACAAATATGTATTGCATTGTTTGAATACAAACTCTCCATGTCAAAGCTATTTAGATTTTAAACTCTGTTAAATCAGCATGGTGAAGGACATTTGCATCATATTAAGGATGCCTCACAGCAGTTTGTCTTTTTAGCTGATCCAATTTAGCATCAGCAGGTGCTTATTCGATTTGCAAATTTGTTAAAAGAATGCCAACACTAACAAATAGCACTTTTGCAATGGGCACTTGCCATATGCCATAGTATATCAGAGAAAAATTCTCTTCTTGTCTAAAGATCTTTGACAAGCAGAGTATAGTGAGAAACTGAGAATATATCGAACTAAAAATGACCATCAATGTATGTTTGTGATACATGTCTAATTGTTTTTTCATCTTACTAACAAAATGTTTGATATTTTCATTTAAATCAATTATTTAACGCTTAGATTTGAGGCAAGACATTATGAAAAAAACAAATGTTCTCTGTAACCAACTATTAAATGTTTGCATTGAGAAAATTATTGATTAGCAAACATGGAAATGGTCAGATGTGTTCCTCAGTTTTAGCAAGACCAGATTGTGCATCCAACTATCTATATTTTATGAAATCCGTCTCTGCCCCATGTTGTCATTTAATTTTTTCACTTCCTCAATTGGTATCTTTCCCTTCCTGACATGTCACCGTACAAGAGAAGTCACCTGAGAACAGACGCTGCTTGTCATGCCTCTGTTTGTCTTTAAAAGATGCGAGAGGGGAGGCCAGGGCCAACAGAAGGGACAGAGGAAAAGTGATCCATATTATTCCTATGGAGGCTGCTGGTGACATGCTAATGAACGTTGGTGACCGTCGCTCACCCAATGAGTCAAACACCCCAACACCTATGCAATTTATGTCACTTTTCGTAGTGCTCCACTTCTTTACTCTTTTCTTTTCAGTGAGTGCCCATAAAGTGCCTAACAGACACACACACACACACACACCCCCACACACACCCCCACACACACACACGCACACACACACACACACACACACACACACACACACACACCCACACACACACACACACACACACACACACCCACACACACACACACACACACACACACACACACAGACCTCGTCTCCACATGTTATATCTTCATCATCGTGGGCTGAGTTGAGTAACAGCCATCGACACCAGCCACTTAGCAAAGGCTGCTGATCATGAAAGAAGTATGGGTGTGATGACAATAGGCAGAGAGCATGTGGGAGTCCCTCCCCTAGCCAGCAAATTGCTGAAGCTGTTGTGATGTTTATAGATTTAGCTATGACACCCTAACTCCAACATAAGAGAAACGCACAGATCTAAGTGAGCAGAGCAACTGCCCATGTTTCTAGAATTTCATCCTAACCACATATCTTTCTTACCTATGAAAAAGCATTCTTAGTTTTTGAAGCCTTTATTTTTCAAAGATCCATAAGAAATCTGCTGACGACTGAAGTAAGCCAATTTATATAATAATTTGGAATATTTGCTAAGGAACTGTGTATATTAATTAACATGAGTAAACATTTTCCCAGCTTCTGGCTTTTTTGAGGTAATATTAACAAATAATTTAGTTTCAGTAATTCTTTGTTTGACTATAGTACAGCTTTGTTTTTCAGCTACTGTGAGATGTTGCCTCTGTTCCTAAATTTTGTAGCAAATGCACTAAATCTTGCAGAATTACTTGGAATGCTGTTTCTATATTTTGTTTTTGCACTACAAATTATTGTTCTCTTAGGTATAAATTTCAACACCTGCTGTTCACTCTACCTTGAGGCTCCACAGCCTTTGAATTTCTGGCCATAGCATGGATGAGTGGTTGTTTTGAAGGACAAATGGCATGAGAAGACGTCCCGAAATGAAAGTTGGATGTGTATGGGGGGTTGGTCTGGCTACTCCTCCGTGCCTTGTCCACTGATTAGTAGTGGCTGCTTCCTTCGGTCCACTGCATTATGCATTAGCATTAAGGCAAATGGAATGAAGCAGAATCCAATTACGGGAGAACAAACAGGTGGGCTCAGTGCAGCTTAGGCAGAGGACTGTTTCAATCACAGCCCAAGCCAAGCTTTATTGCAACTGAAATTTCATGCAGAAAACACATGCTAAAATCCTAGACACAAAACAAGGTATGCGTGAAAAGAATTAAAAATTAAAGTTGGGGCCTGCTACAATCAGAAATTGACAACCAGAGAATAATTTCTGTATTTCTGATGCATGATTTAAGAAACATGGCTCCAAAATTGTGCAAGCCATATATTCAGCAAGACATGATCATCATTGGCAGTCTAGTCAATTTTCAATATTCCACACTGTTCAAATTCCTCATCATATATCATAGGACTAGACTGATGTAACTGGTTGTAGATGATCATAAATCAATTGGAATGAAGATATCAATATCGGTTCAGCCTTTTGAAAAGAAAAAGAGCTCTGATGTTCGCATCTAGAAGTTATTTTTTTTGCACATACCTGGGCATTATTCAAGTAAAAAAACACACATTCTTAAAGAATTATAAGCCTGGAAAAATTATTGAAAAATGGGCATAATTTAGCAAAAATAGAATCCATCTACAATTTTCTGCTTTTTAATCTGTGATTCCAGAAGTGAGACCAAATGAAATGGATTTCCCTTTTATTACTTCTTTATGAAGTTAATCAGTTTCATGTTTGATAAACCTGACCTTCTTTTCAAAATAGCCAGGACAGCAATGAGTTTGAATTTTCTGACTTGCTTTGTTAGACACATTTTGAATTGAACTTGTCCAACAATTAGCTGAGCATTGTATATCCACTTTAACAAATTTTTCAAGACTTCCTTCTTCACAACATGCAAGAAAAAATATTAAGTGAAATAAGATTTTAGTCGTTATAATATTTCTCTTTTGTCTTTGGTAAAAGATCACAAGCACTAGACGTACACTTTTGGTTTAGATGTGTTTGCCCAGAATTCCCTCCTCTACAGAACGGTTTCTGGTCCGCTTATCATTCACTTCAAATGACCCAAGACCAGGGTTTCGTAGGTGGAACACAGTTTGCTTTTTTGGTCCACGTCAGAATTCGATTGTGCATTCCCACCTCCCAAAATGAACCAGTCTTTGTGTGCAAACAAACAACAGTTCAACTAGAGTATACTAACACGGACTGGTGAGAATACAGCTTGAGTCTCAATATGGAAGAAGACTCCAAGTAAGCTATTTTAAGAATAAACTGATACATAAAAACTGAAATTAGATAAAGTATAAAAGGTGTAAGAAGCTATTTATAAAAGAATGGATTTCTGGACATGTCTGTAATTCATTCAACACTGTGGCAAAGCGAGGCTTGA